AGTAGCCGCCTGGCTGCACCGACCCAGCGGGGCGTGGGGAGGCCCCCGCGTGGCGCAGCGGCACGTTCGCCGCGGGTCACATCCCGGGCTGGACGGGAGCGCCACGTGCAGTGTCGGAGAGACAGCCCCGGGCGGGCCCTAGGCACCTGGGCATCCAGAGGGGCCGAGGTGGTAACGAATCCCAAGGGCTTTCTCGCTGGGGAGAGAGCAACAAGAGAGGCCTGCCTTGTGTGCTTCTGAGGCAGCCCCACCTGCGATGCTGTCTTGAGCTGGACTCTCAGTTCTGGAAAGATATTTGGCAAACTGGAGGGTGCTCGGGGAGGTGCTGTGGGTGGCTGGAAGAGTCACACACCGGTTCAAAGAAGTCTGTTTCCCTAGCTTTCTCGAAGTTGTGACATGAGAGGTTGGTAGCTGACAAATAGCTGAAGGGCCTAAACCTCTACTAAGCAAATACACTCTCATTCATCACAGAAACTAATGTAACTAAAAGGAATGAGATAAAGGGAATGAAAAGTGGTGTTGGGTGCCCTCACTCTGTGGTGGAAGAAGCTGTGAGACTGGAAACACCATTCTTCAGAACACTTTACATTGGAAAACCTATGTGGACATAGAGATAAAATAGTTTTGCCTGGGTGACTGTGCAGGGGATGTAAAACTCAGGACTTTTTTTTTCCATTCCCTGCTTTGTCCCTGTATTGTGCAACTTTGAGCAGGTCCCTTAGCTCCCTATGCTGCAGTTTTCCCATCTATAAAACAAGGGTGAATATATCTATATTGAGGGATTTTGAAGTTAAAGTACCTTGTCTGCAGTATACTTTAAAGCCTTGGTACTGTATGTAAGTGCTAAGCGTCACATGTACCATAAATTACACATGGTCTATCTTATATCTGGATGGGCACACACATGTGCCTCTGTGCTGAACATCTCTAGAGAAGCATTTCTGCTTAGCTGGGTGTAGCTAGTTCCCTGCTAAGGCATAGGCATCCTATTAGAAGGATGCCCTGAACTGATATATCATTCCAGTAACTACCAGGTGGGTGAGATAATGAGGAATGTTTATTAGTTAATAGCTTGGACACACCCCCAATGCTTCATCTAGAATAGAAACTGTTGCAGAATTAAATCACTGTTAAGATCAATGTACACCACAGAGAATAGCGTCAGCTGATCTGTATATGCTACATATGCAATGATTGAGTGTCCCTAGCAGTGGTATGGGACCAAAGAAGAATTTTCATAGACAAAAGATGTGAACTTGAAGTTTCTTGGATTTTGTGAACTTGGAACGGTTAGATAATAGGATCTATTTAAGTTGTATCCCTTTCGCTCTTCCAGCCTGAGTGGCTATTGCTGCTGCTAAATAAAGTTGCTTTGTCTTAACTATTGATTTAACAAAAGGCATTGTTTTAAACCAGTGAAAACTAGAGTTCCTTGAAAATGCTGATATTAGCAAGCAGGAACTCAACAGGCTAGTAATCTAATGCAGTGTTTCTCAACCTCTTTTTATAAAGTACCCCTTTTAAAAAAATTTAAAAAGTACCTCAGTACCTACAGATTTCAGACACACAATTTTTTTTCTACAGTTGCAACACATTTGTTTAAACTACTTAATCGTAGCTGCAAAGGCGATTATTATTTTTGTACTTTTTACACCCAAAAATTTCAAACGCTGTAAAACTTAACTGAAATTTGGAGAAAACTGAATTTTTTATTTAATATTGACATACACCCCCCCTCCTCTCCCCCCAGATTTCTCTCAAGTACCCCAAGGGTACTCTTACCACTGGTTGAGAAACACTGTTCTAGTGGCCTTTTTGCCCTGTTGATCTCCATTTCCATGTGTGAAAATTAGTGTTTGCTGCATATAGTTTTTTATTCATGGTTAGAAGTGATATGTAAGTACTGTAACCAGTTTTGATCTGGGGGCCTGGCCTACACCGCAAAGTTAAACAGATATATAAGCCACCTTGCCTTGATCTAGTTGTGTGTGTGTGTGTGTCTACACTTAATTTTGTTTCCCATTGACATAGTAACACTGCCTTTCTGAGCAGCATAGAGCCACAATGGGTGTTGCATAAGTGCAGTCCTAGTCTAGCAGATATCCCATAATGTCTGATGTTGGTCCACTATTCAAGTGTCACACAGTGCACAAGGCCCCACAAATTTGTTTTCACGGCTGTCTGGGTTAGCATCCCCCATTGTTGTGTGCACCACATTGGCTGCATGCTCTATATATGCCCTTGCTTGGCATAGATATATTGGATCTCCTAAGGTTATGGGGAGAAGAGGCTGTGCAAGTACAGCTATGGTTGAGTTGTAGAAATGCTGACATCTCTGAGGGGCTTATTTAGGGCGTGAAGAAGATTGAGACCAGAAACAGATGCCTCGTGAAAGTGAGGGAGTTGTGGCAGGCATATCAGAAGGCCAGGGAGGCCAACAGTCAATATAGTGTTGAGTTGCAGACCTGCCACTTATACAAAGAGCTGTATACGATACTTGGTAGAACCACCACAGCCCTGCACACTACTGTCAATACTCAGGACCCTGGTCTGAACAGCAAAGAGGATGGAGGAGTCTGCACCTGGAAAGTCCCAATTGTGCCATGAGCCAGGACCTGTTTGAGACTTCACTGCAGTCTAGTCAGTCTTGGCAATCAAGCACAAATGAACCCAATGCAGGGGAAGGAATCTCAGGTAAGTGTAAATTTTATTTCCCACTACAGTGATTGTGCCCCCAATTTAACAGGACACAGCTATCAACTTTGCATTGATTTATCCAAACTAGAAGTAGTAGTGGTACAACAGTGTTGATGTCTGTAGGCAGGGAGGACCATGTGGAGCAGTTTGTGTATACTGGAATGTCCCTTGAATCCTCTGGAGAGATCTTAAATAAACTTTCACTGAGGTACTCTGTAATCTTCTCCCAAAGGCTTCTAAGGAAGCAATCGTATTTCTCCTCTGCAGTAGAATACTTTGCTTGCAACGCAGCAATAATTTCATCAGTCACCATTGTAGTACACAGACTAGCAGCATGCGGGCCTGAGTGGCTTTGGAATGCCATCAGCTTACTGCCTTTCTTACCCTCTGGAGTGAGATCAGCAAAAATCACCACTGCCTGTGGAAAATGGTGCCAGTATTCTATACCATTGCCCTAAACCAGTGTTTCTCAAAAGAAGGCCATGGGCTGCTTTGGGAAAGCTGCTAGTGGACCTGCACCACAGTATTTACCTAAAGGGGCCATAGCCACGGAGCCTCACAGCTCCCATTGGCACTGGTTCGCCATGTCCAGCCAAGGGGAGCCATAGGAAATGGCAGCCCAGGCTATGCAGCTTCCTACAGCTCTACTTGGCTGGAAACAACGAACCAGCATCAGTGGGAGGTATGAGGCTACGGACTCTAAAGGAAACAAAGCAGGCCAGTGGCTCACTTTGAGGAACATTGCCCTAAACTCATGGTTTCATCGAGCCAAGGAAATCTCTTCTCATTTCCTTCATGCATGGTGGTCATTCTTTCATGGCTGGTGCTGTGAATGGCACTTGGGGGTCAAGAACTCTGAAGCAGAAATGTCCATAAACTTAACTTGTTTAACACTTTAGAAGTGCAAGGGAAGGGGAGAAATCTGAATCTAAGTTTTGCTTTCTGTTGTAACCATCTTGACTGACTATAGTACCTCTTCATGTTTTCTCTACAGCTGCTACCACTGCATCCTTGCAGCTTTCCGCATCGCACCTCTGGAACACCTGAGCCAGATAAAGAAAGAAGATGACCTGTTAGTGAGATCCTGCATGCCAGTGCTGCAACAGAGCATGAGCAAAGGGCCTAGAGGGTCAACATTGCAGATAGCCTAGAGAAAGGAAGAATGGAGAGGAGGGGCCCAGGAGTCTCAGCTGGTAAAGGAGAGTGAAATGCACCAGGACATAATGGGGCTTTTCAGGCAGCAATCTCAGATACTGCAGGTGCTGATGGACCTACAGGCTCAACAGTTTCTGGGCTCACTTTCCTCAGCAGCCCATTGAGAACTCCATTATCAAACATCCCTGCACCCTTTGCCCCCCCCCCCCCCTGGCATCAGGAGCTGCTGCACTACCCCTACAACTCTATCCTGCAGTACTTTAAAGACAATCACAGATTCATATGTAGTGATCTATGAAAGCCACAGTTGGTCTGTGTAACTGAAATGGACATGAATGTTCTTTCCCCTTCATAAGTTCTGTTCTGTTAATTTATTAAATTTTATAAAATATTTAATGTGTTTGTTTTAAAATTGCATTCTTTGGCAAGGGGGTTTACACTAGGGATGTAAAATCCTGTTTAATTGGTTAACTGGTTAAATGTAATGTTTAACTGGTTAATCAGTTTGAAGCAGCATGGACGGGGAGGCTGAGCTAAAGCAGCCCCCTCTGCCTGCAGTGTGCCTGTCATGGACGGGGCTGCTCCAGCCGGGCTGGAGCACACCTACCTGTGGGTGCACCTGGCCTGGCTGGAGCAGCCCCCTCCCCATGACAGCTGCTCCAGTCTCCACTAGTTAGCCAGTCACATCCCTAGTTTGCACTGATTTGGTATAATTTAGAACATAATTCATCTTTCAGTTCGCAATGTATATTGCTGAGTACTTAGCAATTCTTAAAGCACAGTTACTACACAGTGTCACACAACTCATAGGATCAGTCATAAACAAAATTAATAGGTGCATTGACAGAATTACATTCATACATCTATACCAAGCACCACACAGTTCTACCAGGTTTTGCTCTTTTGTGGCCTGTTAAGAACACATTACTGTGACTCACTCTTGAAGTGGTCTTTCTGAGCTCCATGTTATGTTCTTTTTATAGCCTTTGTGTCTGGCTGTTCAAACTCAGTAGGTAGCAGCTCTACCTCTGCCCTTAACCCTAGTGGAAACTTTTCTCCCTTTGCTCCAAAGATGATATGCAGGACACAGCAAGCAGCTATAACTAATGCTAAGGTTGTCATGGTTATTTTTAGTAAAAGTCAGGGATAGACTACAGACAATAACAAATATTTACAGAAGCTTGTGACCTGTCCCTGACTTAATGAAAATAACTATGACAAAACGGGGAGGTAGGAGGGTTCAATACCCACAGCTGCTGGAGCTCCAGGATCCCTCCCTGCCCATGCCTCCTGTGATGGCAGGGATTTGTGGAGAGACTGTACCAGCTGATGGTTCCAGTCCTGTTGCTCTGTGGCTCAAGTGGAAAAAGGCAGAGGCGCCTGGAAGTCAGATTCTATAAGCTTGTGACAAAACCTTAGCCTTTGCTATAACCATTGGAATTTTGTCTTGCTGCGTTCCAGTCTTGCTATTAAACAGTGCCAGCATCCCTTTGATCTACAAAAACACATTCAACTGTTCTGTACCTGCTGAGCCCATAGTTAAATCTCTCCTTGGTGCTGTCAAGGGGGCCAGTGTGATGAAGTGATGAGTTGTCTTAATGTTGTGTATGAATACTGTTCATAGTATAGAATACTGTTCATAATATTGTATATGAATACTATTCTTCAGTTTCCCTTGTCTGCTACATTTTTAATTGGTTGGTGGAAAGGGCTGTTTACTCTTGGCAGAGTCTCAGCACACAATGGCTACTCTAGTGGTCAAACATCTGATGCTTAGCAACTAATGACCACAGGATGTTGACACCCTCTGCAGGAAGCAGCTGGCTGTGACCTGTTGGAGAATAAAGTTTTAAGATTGGTAGCCAGGTGTTCTGTTTCCTGGGGTAAAACAGGTCAGTGGAACAGAGAAGGAACCAGTTGTGGGTAGTGTGGGCCATTCAAAGGAGGAGAGAGCCCTGTACTCTGGATAGTCAGCTGTAACTTTTCTGTTGTGTATTAGCTAAGTATGTTCTGTGCTGTGTTCCAGACCTGTAATAAACTTTCCTGTTTTAACAATGCTGGCTAAGAGTCATTCCAGTCGAAGGAAGTGTGCTTGCCTTCCCAGTGTCCAAAACAAGTGGACTCACTGAGGAGAGCTGACGGAGTAAGCAGGGGTACTGAACACTCCTAGAGTTCAAGTTCATGAGGTTGTGAAGCCTCCTGGGTGGGGGGGGGGAACCTGACTGAGGGGTGAACAACTATCAAAGGGTCCTCTCAGGGACTGTTCCAGAGCTGTGCAGAAGCATCAGACCTGTGGATCCATGACATCCATTTTACAGCTTCATGAACCAGGGTAGCAAGTAGTAGGTTGTGGTCCCCAGGATTACTGTTGGCATTTCAGCATTCCCAATGGCAATCTGCTGGTTAGGAAAGAGTTCCTGCTTGGGGGGAGGGGGGCAGAGGAAGAGGAGGAGAGAGAGAGATCCTGCACTTTTCTTGATCAGCTCATTGATATCAGGGAAGTGTATCCAGTGATCCACAAACACTTGTATAGCCAAAAAAGTAGTCTTTTTTTATGTATTATTATTATTATTTTTATTTTATTATTATTATTCTGTGGTAATGTGGTCTGGTGCAAAATAGGGATAAATGTCCTGCTGCTGTTCGGAAACCCATTGCAGCAGATTCATTCATTGTGTCCTGCATATTGCCAAAACTCTCACTCCTTCATAGAAGGAAGAGATTAATGGTCTCCCACACTTTCATGATAATGGCCCATCTAGTGGATTTTCCCACTTTGATTCTCAGCTGAGCAGTTGCAATCAGATCTGATATTACAAATTTCCACAGGGTGATCACCACTAATTTCTTCAGTATCACAGCTCTCTTTTTGCATTCTCTACTACAGGGCTAAGGCCAAAAGTTCTGCAATCACTGCTAGTCATCCCAAGGCTGCATTACAAAGTGATCCCATCAGTCTGTGCTCATTTCTCAGGCCCAGAAGTAGCACTTCACTAAATGCAGCTGTTCCATCAATGCAATCATCAGCCTTTAATTGTTTTTTGACACATCTCATAGCATTCTATCCTGAGAAATTCTCATGGTCCTTACTGATTGAGTTCTTGCAGTTCTGCAGATACTGCAGAATCATGTGTATTGTGCTTCCAACATTCATGATGGTGATGTAGAGCTGTGCATGATCCATATTTCTATCACAAATGGTAGACAGCAAGCATGAGTTGGGATTTTGGGGAAAAAAGGCATGAAGATTGTGGGATATAGATAACATTATGGAATACACACTTGGAAGTTGACCCTTGGCTTCCTGTCACCCCTGGGCAACTCATTTCTGCCCCACTATGCAGTGCCAAAACTTCCCAACTGTGCATTGTTACATGCATTCCTGGTAAGCATGCATATGGCTGATTATGAGGAGCCAAGTATACACAGATTTTTGTCAACTATGCCTGCATCTACCAGGACTCTGCTGAGTCCCTTTGGCACCATTACAAGCTTTTATATGAGAAGTGAAGAAAAGGCTTCAAAATGAGCCGCTGAGATGGCCCGATATCTCTTGCTGACTAACATGTGTAGTTCTGCTTTGAAGGAGAAGCAGCTAAAGTTGTAGATTTTAACATTGACTTGGACTACTGTGATTCTCTTGAGTCTAATCTGACCTGCATAATTCAGGTCAAATGGCATCATCCAGAAATTCTTGCACCTAGTTCATGATGGAACTAGAGCATATCTTTTAGAATGGGGTGTGTGAGAGACAGCCCACGGGCCAGATGTGACCCATCAAGCCTTTTAATGTGGCATGTGGCCTGCCTGAGGCACAGAACAGCTCTATGCCACTCAAAGCAGCTGGCTGCTCCCTGTGGCTCTTTGCATGGCGCACAGGGTGGAGAGGCTTCATATGCTATCCCTGCACCCAGCACGGTCTCTTAGCTATTGTCCAGAAACTGGACAGTGAGAGCTGAGAAATTATGCTGGGGGGGGGGAGAGCGCAGCATGAAAAGTCTCCCCACCCACCTCTGCAGCACAGACAGAGGAATTGAAATAGCTATGTTATGTCAGTATGAGTCTTGAGTGGGCATTCTTATTTTGGAATGTGTATCCACACAGATTTGTGCCAAAAACCAAAAAGTGTGAATTGCAACCAGACCCACTGATGGGGGAGCAGAGCCTCAGGTTTTTAAAATTGCTATTGGAGCACTGCACAACACACTTTTATGTAGTTCTGAGGGCAGGAGTGGAGCATACCACACTTTGGCAGCATGGAGGACTGGCTGCTCCCAGTACCGCCTCATCTACTTGAGGCCCTGCCCCTTCCGGGAACATGGAGCTGCTTTTCCCAAATTGTACAGGGGCCAAATTGCACAGGCTGTCTGCTCCCCCTCATTGTAACAGATATAATTTTAATCTCAGTGTAGCCAAGCCCAAAGATGAGGGAGAAAAGGAGAATGCAGGAGCAAGAACTTCAAAGACAAAAATAGCAGTCTTCATAAAGAGGAGTATAGTTTCCCCATGAGCCGTTCAGAATGTAACAGTAAGATACTCAGTACATGGTGGAGTCATTGGTCACAGCTCTATAACTGGGATTGTGTTTTGCACTTGCACATCTTGTGTATGAAGAACGCTGTGTAACTTCCCCCAAAATTATGAAGTGTTTTAATCAAAATAAAAAAGTTAGCACTCATTTTAGAAGTTGGTGCCCAACTATATTTATTCTAAATGACCTTAATAGTGGAACTGACTGTCAACTAAGGTACTGACAATTGTATCTAATTATTATTAATAGCCTATAAATAGGGCCAGGTCAGCAGTTTAGGTCATTCTTAAATGGGACCTATATGACGTTGGAAATAACTTTACTTCTAAGTAGAGAGAAGATGAGACTATAATAAGCGGTGGCATTAATGTAATGTAATCATGCATACAGATGTTCCTCACCCACTTCCTGACCAATGGGACTGTGTCTGCAAAGAGAAGCAAGAAGCTGTAACTCTTATCAATATCAGCATGATCGGATGTGTAGCTGAGCCTCAGGAAATATGTTCATAGTAGGAATGTTAAATTTAGATTAATTAACTAATCTTATAGTCAATGGGATTTCTATAGACTGTTCAATTAGTCTATAAGGGCGCCTCCACCTTTGAACTGTAGCAAGGACTCTTGTATATTTCAAAAACTCAGGCACTGCAGGGAGTGGGGGGCCAGTGGGGAAGTCCCCCACTGGTCCCACACTAGCTTCTGCCTTTGAGATATACAAAAGCCCCGCCAATGCTCTTGTACATTTCAAAGACTGAGGGGGTCCCCCACAGGTCCCATGCTCCCTTTTGAATGTACAGAAGCCCCATTAGGGCTCTTGTGCATTTCAAGGTCTGAGGCAAGCAGGGGGCACTCCCTACCTCGACTCAGCCTTTGAAATGTACAAGAGCGTCAGTAGGGCTCTTGTACATTTCAAAAGGAAGCCCTGCAGGGAGCATGGGGCCAACAGGGATCCCCTGCTAGCCCCATGCTCCCTGCGGGGATTGTACATTTCAAAAGCAGAATCGCAACAGAGGCAGCGCAAGCAGAGACCTCTTCAGTCCCCAGTCGCACCATTTCCTGCTGTGCCTCTACCTCCATGTGGAGATGGTGCTTGGGGGAACCACCTTTTAAGCTGGCTCCCGGCAGCGCAAGCAGAGACCTCTTCAGTCCCCAGTCGCACCATTTCCTGCTGTGCCTCTACCTCCATGTGGAGATGGTGCTTGGGGGAACCACCTTTTAAGCTGGCTCCCCCAGAGTGCTGGCTCCTGTTCCCTCCCTCCTCTTCCCTCCCCTCCCCCCCGCTGCCTCTCTCTCTGATCTAGACAGCAAGGGTGGGGGAAGTGACTATTTATATCACTAGTTGACTATCTGATAAGCTTCTGCTTATCAGATAGTTGACTAGTCTCTTAGGGTATGTCTACACTACCCTCCTAGTTTGAACTAGGAGGGTAATGTAGGCATACCGCACTTGCAAATGAAGCCCGGGATTTGAATTTCCCGGGCTTCATTTGCATAAGCGGGGAGCCGCCAGGTTTAAAACCCCGCTGGTTCGAACCCCGGGCAGCGCGGCTACATGGGGCACGAACTAGGTAGTTCGAACTAGGCTTCCTAGTTCGAACTAGCGGGGTAGTGTAGACATACGCTTACATCCCTAGTTCATAGTGGAGAGCCCCATTTTAAGCAGTTGTTTGCCTCTGGACCGGGCTGGTGTGTCTTCATTTTCTGTGTTGGACTCTGGCAAGTATGTTTATTCCTCTGAATACTGTCGTACCTCGGTGTTTTCGTACCTCGGTACCTTCGGTGGTCTGGACTGTCAGTGTCAGCGTCGTCTGGTCAGGGTTGTCCTGGCGCGCTCCTGACAGGACCTCTACTCCGTTGTTAAACTTTCGGCTGCGTGTGTAATAATCGGTACTTCCTTTATCTAGAGTGTTAGACCCCGTGCACTTGGGTCAACACAAGCGATCTCTGAGAGGCCCCGGAAACGACAGATGCAGGCAAGGTTTGAAATCAATTGAGCAGGTTTATTGTCAAATGCGAAGCTCTACCAGTTGGTAACAGAGATCAGTACAATATTACACCACTGGGCACTATGGCCCGCGTTGACAAGGTACCAACAACAGGCAGGCCTATTGCCATATAACAGATATTAACAGCAGTTAGTCAAAGTTAAGCTACTGTGCACTCTGTAAGTTTAGGCAATGACACCTGCCGTTCAGGCGCCTAGTGCGCCCCCCCCAAGGTCGGCTGGAGAGCACCCTCTGCGGTGTCCTTTTATAGACAGGTACAAACAACTTACATCATTTCTTTAAGCACCAGGTTACCACCCTCTGTTGCCTAGTTACCACCCCTCACCTTATGGAAGGGGGACTTACTTACTATCCTTCATGCTGTCAATTCCGACCTGGTCCTGAACCTAGGTTGGTATGTGCATTAGTTTTTAGGGAGTTTTTGTACCAAGACATTTCTTATTAAGATGTTCCATTACTCCCCTTTGGCTTACAGTCTGTACCCAGTGCCTCCCCGTGTCCTTCCATGCTCGACTTAACTTACACAATCGCACAGTTAGCAATAGGGCCCCTTTCTTGGCTCCTGTTACTGAACCAAAGTCTTGCTCACTAGATTGCAGGCCTGTTGCTGTTTTCATGTTATAGGCCTCTATTTAGGCCTGCTGACTCCATGTTACTGACCTCAACTTACTACAAATACCACAAATTTGTAAACTTGTCAGCCCAGTAATTAATGGTGGAGCCAAGAGCAATAGGAATTATTAGGGATGCCTGACAGTTCCCAATATAATATTTTGTTTTTAGTTGCCTATAACTTTGAAATTTCTCTTTGGGTGTCAACCTCAGGCTAAATTTTTTTTTTTTTTAAAGGGCGGAAGGCAGAAGTTTCCTCCAAAATTGTTCATCTGTTTCTGAAAATTATGTTAAAGGAGGAAAACAATATTTTCCCCATGTTTTTTTTTTTTTTTTTTTTTTTTTTTTTAATCCTTGAGACATTTTCTTTGAACAATCCTGGGGTACGTCTAGACTACATGGCTCCGTCGACGGAGCCATGTAGATTTGTTTGTTCAGCAAAGGGAAATGAAGCCGCGATTTAAATAATCGGGGCAATCTGGACGCTCCCCTGTCAATATGAAAGCCCTTTATCGACCTCCCCGGTAAACCTCATCCTACGAGGCATAATGGGGAGGTCAATAAAGGGCTTTCAAGTCGGCGCGGGAGCGTCCAGACTAGCGCGCTGAGCCGACAAACAGCTGATCAGCTGTTTGTTGGCTCAGCACGACAGCCATTTAAATTTAAATGAAGCCGTGATCGCGGCTTCATTTCCCTCTGCCGATCAACCTAATCTACATGGCTCCATCAATGGAGCCATGTAGTTTAAACACACCCCTAGTGTCCCCATTCTTTGGAACAGGGATTGAAATACATGTCCAGTGGCAGACAGCCTTTTGCTGTCCCTGTGAAAATATGCCCAAATTTGGCCAAGTTTATAAGTCTCTGAAATACCCGTTTGCATGTTTTCAGTGGAGATTTGCAGAGCTTAACATCTAAACTCTCCAAATATTCCATCCTCAGTGAGCATGATCCATTCCCTCAAGGCTCCATGGTACATTTTGTATGGGACACTGAAGATGAAGCAGGGTTATGTAGTTAAGGTGGTTGTTGTCTATAGGTCCCCTACCTCATAATTAAGGCAGTTGAATGCTGCCCTGGAGACTTGAATTTGTTCCTGTCTCTACCACAGAATTTTTGTGTGATAGTAGACAAGTTACTTAAACAAGACTTTTGACAGATATTAGCTAATTTTATATTCCTCAGATTAGGTAGTCGAGTAGTTGACTACCCAATAAGCCTCATCTTATCAGGTCGTTAAGTTGACTACTTGCATTCCCCACCCCCATGCTGCCTCTGTATTAGCAACAGCAAGGTGGGGAATGTTGCTGCCTTGTAGCTGCAGCTGAAGTCAGTGGGATACAGTTAAGTGCTAGATAATGCTAATTACTCTGGAAAAAAAATGCCTTGCATTTGAAATTGGGCATCTAAAAATAGTGGAAACTTTTCACCCTTAATCTTGCACCTCCAGTTTCCCTTCTGTACAATGCAGATAAAAATCATATCACCTTCTAAGGGTGTTGTGACGATAAATTAACATTTGTGAAGCTATACTATTATGAAAAGTGCTGCAGAAAAATCCACGAGGAAATTAATAATTTGTCTTCAGAGCAGGATTTTAATAGTGTGAAGTAAATAAATCGTAAAGCCTCACATTGGCAATGAGAAAACAAAACATTGAATAACTGCCTATTCAAATGAGTACTATTCAGCCTCTGCACTAAATGAGGAAGGAATCCTGTGGAAATAATAGTATATGATTATGTAATTAAAGACTGTATCATAATGCTGAATTCAGATTACAAAAGCTGAGGCAAACTTAATTCTTGGGCTACTGGAGAGAGGGACTACAAAGCCCAGAAACACACATACTCACTAATGGGCACCAAAGGATTATGGCTTGGTGATGTATTGTATAAACCTCTTTTCCTGTCTGCACTAAGTTATATTCCTGTCTTTTCCCCTACCCAGGATACCCTTTTGCCTTGTTCCAGCGCTATTTCCTCTTCCAGAAGGAGGTCTACCTCATTCACCTGTTCAACACCCTCACGGGGCTCTCAATTGCCTACTTCAACTTTGGTAAGAGGGACATGGGGAGAAATATGCTGCTTGATTCAGAGCTCGCTGCAGTTTGAGAACCAGTGGTGAGGATCTGCTGTGTTGATCAATTCCCAGTCCATCTCTCTCTACAGGGATGCAGTTCACACACTCCCTGCTGTGCATCCTGATCCAGTTCCTCATACTAAGGCTAATGGGCCGTACGGTAACTGCTGTCTTGACCACCTTCTGCTTTCAAGTAGTAAGTGCCATGTTCTTTTCTGCATTCATCTATAGTGGGAAGCCTGCCGCTGCTGCTCAATTCTTTATTTTCGAATAATGAGCTTGGAGGGGATAAAAAAAGTTTTGCTGGACTAGTCAGCCTGAGTAATTCATACCATGGTCTCTTTCAGACATACCTTATGGCTGGTTATTACTTCACTGCCACAGAGAATTATGACATTAAGTGGACCATGCCACACTGTGTCTTGACTCTCAAGCTGATTGGTAAGTGATGCAACTTTTCCGTTCACTTAACATACACTGTCCGTACTTTCCCTCATCCTGCCCCAAAAGTGAGAGGTGTTTACATTCTTTGTGGTTCAATATATCCCTCCAAAGATGGTTTCAGCATAATTCTTTTCTTTCTCTGTCTCTAGGCTTGGCCATCGATTATTATGATGGAGGGAAGGATTTGGTGAGTGAAGCCCTATCTTTCTTCTCCCCCCACTTCTTTTCTGTGAGTTGGAGGCCAGAGAAGTCAAGCTCTGGGGAGACAGTCAAAGAGTTAAATCCCCGGTTTAGCAAAACCACCACTAGGAGGGTGCATGTGTGCATATAGAAGGGAGGGTCATAAACCCCAGAGTGAAAAGGGATTATCTGGGACAATAATAATCGCAGCTCATAAAATCCATTCCTATGGGCTTCTGGTTCCCATAAGACCCCATAGGGGTCCTTCCACTCCCCAGTCTGACAGATAGCTCAACACTGGGTAATAGTTCCTGTGCTCCTTTCATTTGGTTCAGTCTCATAGCTGTTCTCCCCTCTTCAGTCGCGAAGCGTGCCTATCCCTGTAGATGACCTGTCCTTTGCCCCTGAGAATAAGGTTCAGTTGAGACTTCCAAGGAGAATTCCAAGCAATAAAATTAGTGAGTAGTATAATGGGCTTGTGCCTCCAGGAATGTATCCTCTTGCTGGAAAGTGTGAAACTCAGCAGCGGAGCTATGTATGTGTTAGAGTGTGTGCATGCCACTGCAGACTAGAGGAGACTAGGGGTGTAGCTATTATCGCACTTGGCATCCTGGAGAGAGGCGTGCAGTTCCCCTTGTTGAGGGATCAGCCAAGAGCATGAATTCCCTTGACTGGATGTTTAATGAAGATACTGTTGAGGGGCCGGAAGCTTATATCCATAGGAATAAATGAACCGGTGAATACTTTGAGTGCAGCAGTTGATAGCTCAAACCGGGAGGATAATGGATTGGGTTGTTACATCCAGGATTAGTTTAGGGAGGGTTTAGGGCTCCATACAATGGGTGTAGCGGCTCCATGAGAAAAAACTAATGACATTTGTATGATCTTTTTGTTACTAATTTTCTGATAGTTTTCTTGGGGGGGGGGGGG